AGAGCAGTCTAGCCTACTTCATGAAATGTTTGTGGTAATATTCTGCTGTCAATTCGTATTACTGTATTTCAATATGCAGCAGTGATGGCATGTCAGCGAGACAAATAAACATTTTATCGAGTTATTTCATACAATTGTTTTTTTTTTTTCATACGAACACCTCTCCAGTGACATTTCCTCAAACAAAATCATCATGACGTTACTGTGCACAGCATCAGTAAAACGTTGAGAATAATTTAAATACTTAATTTTTTAAAACAGTCACTGCTGATTACAAACTAACATTAAAGCTAAGCTTACAGAAATCCTGTATGCATGACAATATAAAGATGTATTACTCACTGATGTCGAAGCACTTCCAGGTCATCAGAGATGTAGACAGGACAGAATATGTGCTATCAAATGAGCTCTGGTGCAGCCTTTGTTGGACATCCAGGTAGTATGTTCACCCACACTGTAAGAAACAAAAACAGAAACAATTTATTAAAATGTGAGGGATAGTAAACATGTTTGGTCTACAGAGAGAAGAAAATGTTTACTTTAAGCATTGATCCTAATGAATCTATTTCTGAACTACATTTAACCTTATCACGGAAACAGCATTTTTGAGCTTTTAGACCAGGGGTGCTTAACCTTGTTTGCTTTAAATTAGAATTAAAACAATAAATCTCTATGTCAAATAAAATACTTCAGATCTAAATAAAGCAGGTGTTTTTACCTAAAGGTTCCTTCCCTCCAGTTAGTATGGCTGCAAACCCCTTCACATCTGTGCTTTATTCGGTTCTTGTCTTAAGAGTAACTGGTGTCGCATTCCAGGTCCATCACAATCTGAGCTAGAAGGACAATATGACAAAAGACAAGGCACATATAAATAAGTCTCAGAATAAAATATTTAAAGGAATAGTTTACTATTTTGCCACTATTTACTCCACGTGTTTTAAACTAGTTTGAATTTCTGTTAAACACTAAAGCAGATATTTTGAAGAATGTTAGTAACCAGTAACTATTGACATCCATATTTAAACCAAATTTCTTTAAAAAATACGAGTTTGTGTTCAACGGAACAAAATAAATATATAACTATTTTGAAACAAGTGGATGATGCCAAAGATGCTATTATTTTCATTTTTGGGTGAACTGTCCCTTCAATTCAAGTGTCAAGCAATAGTCATAAAAACTGATGTGTCGCTTGAGGAAAACTAAATCAAGTACCTTCTGTGAACAAGCAGAATCATTATGCCATTGTATTCAGTGATTCTCTTTTACATTTTCCCACTATAAAACGATAGCTTCAAAATGCAATCCATGTTAACACAAAAATGAATAGCATAAAATAACATATTGAAGTAAACTTACAGTTTCCAGGCTGTTTGAAAAAAAACACATACGCCCAGTAAAATTGCTAATAAACACAAAGAAAACAGTTATAGAAAAAATTGTTTGTCTAATATTTACTCAGCACTTGGTAGGCAGATAGCATAGCCGTGGCTGTTTTACCACCAGATTTTTTTTAATCTAAGGAACTCCTGGAAGAAGAAAAAGAGGTTGTACATGAAACTCCTCACAACAAATCTGTGAACAACTTGACATTTAAAAATCTAATCAAAATGAGGAAGACATCAACATTACCTTGAACAATCAAGTGAGGAGTGATTGGTAGCATCAGTTTTTCAACATCAGTTACTGTAGCTGAAAAACAGATGAGATAAATATAATAAGAGTAAAATAAGACTTAACATTAATTATTCTAAATCTATGGTACAACCATACCAATCTGTATGGGGTTAAAATACATTTGTACACAAATCATTCCCTGACCCCATCAATTTATCTTAGAATAGGATGGATATATATATATATATATATATATATAGTGATAATGACTTTGGCTTATATCTGTGTACTCAGAACGTACACTCACCTCAGGTACACCTGAACACCAAAAATTATATGTACAATTAATGACACACTATACATCAAGCTCATTAACATTATTGAGAAATAGACAATTAATATGTATTTTGTTAATATTAACGTTAGCTTAAAATAATTCAACTGCATTTAATTTTCAGCTCCGTTTAATAAAACAGTTAAGACTCATTTCATTATGAGTTTAGTTTAAATAACTAACTTACAGTTGAAAAATTTTACCATAATGATAGCTTAGTCAAAATGACTATGTGAAGACCAGAGCTTACCTTAACGGTAAACGTTTAACTTTTCATGGTGACTTCGCCTTCATCTCAGTGTTGTGCTGAAATAGAGAATTCATTAATGCAGTTACAATAAGTTAAAGTTATGTTTTTCAGGTAACTTAACGTATGGTCAAAAACTCACTCAAGATAAACTCACTGTATCTAATAACGTTACCTCGCAAACACTACAATGACCGCCTGGCGTCTGTTATTTCTTGTTTAAAATACCATTTGTTAACGGATAGCGTGACATAACATAAGAACCTACAACTAATGTCACTTGGTTAATTCTTTTAAATTACACACACAATACACAGAAATACATACAAAACAATCCTTTAACGGACAGAATTTGACTTTAAAACACTTACCGAGGATGAATTCGCTGGATGAAAGACGACAGGTGAATTTCTAATTAGGAAAGCCGTTGCCTGCATGTCGAGTCGTGTCCGTTCGGTTCTATGAATCGGCTCCTTTGTGAACAGTAAAGAATCGAATCCGCCTAAAACCGATTCCTTTTTGTATATGATTCATTACTATTTCGTTATACTGCTTGGCCACACGCATTTATACACTGATTATACACTAATTGCATATTGCTGAATGTGCTTGTGAATACGTGTGATCAAATAATTCCCGAGCAAACGGTTCAATTCGGTTCAATACGATTCAGAGTCGCTCGAGTGCTGAACCGAACCAGTGCAAACGGGATATTGATTACAATATAGTAACATTGTTTTTATTCACTTTACCAGCGAAATTATTACATATATCTGACCTTGACAATAACAATAAAGTTTGTTTGAAGTGTTTTGGGATTCTCCCAGAATTCATTTCGCATCAACAAGCAAATGGTAATGGCGGATGAGAAAGCCCAGCTAATATTATAAATATTGCGTTTAATATGTCACGAAATGAAATTTTAACAGTGTTTCATGCGAGAATATAGTTCTTACAAACTCAAATCTGTGGTTTATTTATAGATATCATGTGTAAATATTAAGCGTGCTTTGCCGATAGCGGAGATTCTGACCTCCAGGGTGTCCATCATCACTCATGTATCCGGCGAAACGAGGTTATAATCGGCTAGACATGTGAGACTTGCCCCGGTCTTAGATGGCTCTATAATGAATGCGTTATGAAATTTAGTTTTAACCGTTTTTCATGCGGGAATGTAGTTGTTTTAAACTCAAGTCTGTGGTTTATTTAAAGAGATGGTGCGTATTTGAAAATATTGTTTTGAAAATGCGGAGATGTGACCTCCATGGTGATGACGGGTGCCCTAACCTCATGAATCCGTCTAAAGCAGGCTGGTCATTCTGACATTTAAGCTGACTTTGGTTTCATGAATCAATTACTTTTGTTCCAGTTTACATTTTGGTTAAGCATGAAGTTATATTGATTAAAAATAATTTAATATTTTCATGTTAACCTTATAAAATTAAGGTGCAGTACACCCAAAAATGGAAAACAGGGGCCAGTTTTATGCACTGAACAGTCTGAAGAAACTGGTTAGTTTATTTTTCTTCACAAAATACTTTGTCAAAAAATAAAATAAACATAATAATGATAATAATATAAAGTGTGTGTAGAGTTTTTCATGGTCATTTGCAGTACTGTATTTAGATGCACAGTAACTGATTTTTTCGCAAAATTCGTTGTAAAATCTGCAGTAGCATACTGTTAATCATGTTCACAGTATGGAAATGTTGAGAATACATTATCATGCTGTGAAAACAGCAATATATACAGTAACACACTGTGCACAGCTTATACAGTAAACAACTGTTGAGAAATGCAGTATAATACCGTGAAAACAACAGAAATCATTTACAGTGCACGCTATATATTGATCATATGAATGTGAAACACTAGTCTGATTAAAAGACTGGGCACATGACACCAAAACTTCTTCTAATAATATAGCCTTAATGCAAAATACATAGATGTTTTGTAGTATAGATGATGATAATAATTGTACACTGTAAAAAATGCAGGGTTTCACACAATTCATTGGTATCACTTTACAATAAGGTTTATTAGTTAATGCATTTACTAACATAAACTAATCATGAACAACACTTGTACAGCGTTTATTACTCATAATTAAACATTTACTAATGCATTTTTAACATCCAAACTCATGCTTGTTAACATTAGTTAATGCACCGTGAGTTAACATGAACTCACGATGAACAACTGTATTTTCATTAACTAATGTTAACTAACAGGAACAAATACTGTTGTAAATGTATTGTTCATTGTTTGTTCATGTTAGTAAATGCATTAAGTAACATTAACTAATAAACCTTATTGTAAAGTGTGACCAATTCATTAGTGTTGTCCCAACACAAATCGATTAAGTTAGCGTAACACTTTTAACAAATTTATGTGGATTGATGTGTAGGCTACATGTAATTTAAAATGTTAAAAATAATAAGCAAATTTACAAAATAATATATTATTTTCTACATGCAAATATCTCGCTCATAAAAGTAAGAGAATAGCTTATACAGGAAAAGCTAAACATGGCAAGTATAAACTTGACCAACTATAACTATCACTTTCATTATTAATAATCTTTGATTTGAAGCAATACAACACTAGAAGGGCATCAGTACAAACCTGAAATCATAGGTAGAGACGATACCTAGTGTAGTAGACTTATTCATAAAATAAAAGACTTTTTGAAGTACGCCCTAAAATTATACTCTATGCATTCTATTAAATATATGTTTTTGTTGCGTAGTAACAAATTAAATTATAATTTAATATAAACAAGCATGGTTTGTAATACCTACCCCCCTCTTCTCGAATGGTACAATCCTTGACTGTGTCCTTTTAGCATTTTTGCTACAAATCTGGCACTTGGTGTTTAAACCGGTGTGCGATCGTAGGGGGAGCCTTCGATTTCGTACGGAGCTCCGTTTAAAAAAACTGTTATAAAGTCAATTTACAAAGGGAATTCGACGCGTTTTACCAACTAAACGCTGTTGTTTTACCGTCTGATTTGTTTATTGTGTTGTTAAATAAACGATCATGGCTTGTGGCGCGACGTTGAAGCGATCTATGGAGTTTGAGGCCCTTCTCAGCCCGCAGTCCCCCAAGCGGAGGAGGTGCAATCCTCTACCGGGGACTCCGACTACTCCTTCCCCGCAGAGGTGCAGTCTTCGTCCGTCAACAGAGAGCCCAGCACACTCGATGTCGCCTCAGTCTATGGGTGGAGAGCACAGGCTAACCCCAGGTGAGGAAAGGCATGATTCTTGCCATTTGTTTGACATGGAGGAGGGGAATGGGGGTTGTTTAATCTCAGCTAATCAGCTAGTCGGCATTTGAATTTCGTCAGTCCGTTAATTTAATTCCCCCTCAAACTGCTTTGGGTAACAATTTGAATGCGTTTGGCTGTTTCCTAATCCACGCTGTGGTGGATAGCTGGTTTGGGCTGCAGTTAATTATGCAGTTTGGATGAATAGCTGTTTTGAGCTCGGCTAGCTAACGTTAGACTGAAAGCGGCCGCTAATACAGACTAGCTGACACAGAGCTTCATTTAACTCTCATGGCTTAGTGTTCACGTACACAGTCATCGACCATTAGTACCGAAAACAAAGCATGTGACGATGTCTTTCTACAGACGACTGGGTGGATTGTTAACGTTCATCTCTGCCTTTAGCAAGTTAGTTTATCAGCAGGGTTGAACCAGTATGTCCAAACAAAGAGGAAAAGGTAGCTATGTGCGCAAGAATTCAATGGCATCGATTAATTTAGACTTATCAGTTGTCTTTAAAGCACAATTTTCATGGTGTGTGTGTAAATATTAACCCCAAAGAAGCAATAGAACTAATTGTCAATAAAACACTCAATAAAACATTGTTTAACCTGGATAATTTGGCTTAAGTCGTGTGTTCCTTTTATGTGGTTTGTTACACTTGTACCGCTTTCATTCGAAAATTCATGGACCCTTGGCGAACCCGCCCAAATCTTGCTGTTTAGCGCTGGTAAAACAGCTTTTATCACACTTAAAGAGATCCAAGATGCCACGTTGTATAGATCAGTCAACTGTGAGTGACATAAATGACAACAGTTAAAAGCAAACTCTTCCATTCTGACATAATTTCTTGGTTATAGGTGCTCAGTTCATTGGTACTAGATTTTGGTATATTAAAACGAGGTTTACCAACTATTCAATTGCATTAACAACCATTCTTGTGTTTTATTAAAATATTTGGCATTTGGATATAATTGGCTATTTTGTAAAACAATTCAATATGTTGTTGCAGACATGAAGGCACTTGGGATTCTTGGCAACTGTTTACAACAAGATGGAAATGTGGTGCAGCAAATAGGTTCAGACTAATTTAATTCATTTTATGCTTGTCAGTTATTTCATTTAATTTATTTAACAGTCTTTCCTGTCACTGTTTGTTTCTCATTGAAAACCAAATTATCACTGGTTCGGTTTACAATCTGGGATTAAAATGTATTTTTTGTTGATCCCATCACTAGTCTAAAGCCAGTGTAAACTTGGCAACTTCTGGAAACCCATTCAACCAAACTGAATGTTTTTGAATGGCATCAACAGACAACCTACTCTTAGTGTCCTGACATAATATCTAAACGTCACAGGATGTGTTATGAACGCGTTTATGCTTAAAACCAAGGTCATGATTTTCTCACGATTCTGTACATGTATAATAAAGTTTAATATGAGTCGGCTATTATTATAGTAAAACAACAGTGATCATATTAGGCCAATGTGTTAAAATGCTAAATTTTGTATAGACTTGAAATGGTGGACTTGAGCAGACTTTAAGTATGTCATGGTTGTTAATTGAAGTGAAGTGAAGTGATGACATCAGAATCCAACTATTCATAATTCTGAAGTTTAATTATTATATTTTGTCATTGAAAACATTATTAGACTATATTTTTTTCGCTGGTAAAATGTAACATTTGTCATTATCACATTTCCTGTTGTATTATGTTCAACGTTATAAAGGCTTGACCCAGTAAACATTTATTTTCATGCACAACACTGAGGCCGCTATGAAAGGAAAAAAAAAGCACAATCTTGACGTGGCATTTTTAGTTTGTACTCACTGTGTGTTTTTTTAGTTTGTACTGTTTAGTGAGTATCTTTTCGCTGATATTATACTTGATAATTTTTCATTTCAAGTTCATATATAAATTGGACAAGTTTATTTTGCAATATTAGATTAAAAAATCAGGAAAAGGCCCATGCATGCATGCATTATACAAATTATTTCAGGCGTACAGCTGTATTTCTGTTTTTCTGTGAGCAACATCTACTCTTCATTCTGTCTGTCTGCAGTTTTAAGCTGTCAGTGGTCTGTCAGGCTAGTTTGTTTGTGTATTCCACATTTTGACCATCAGTGAAAGAGCACTCTGATTGGCTATTGAGCTGTGAATTAAAGCTTGAGAACAATAACAAGTGACAAAAGTAAACTAAGCAAGTTATATAAGGAAAAACGAACCAGTCGGCTGTCATTTTGTCGCAAATAATCTTATTAGACCAATTTGAACAAGTTAATCCCTCTGAGCGAGAAGTACTGTAAAGATGGTATGTGAATGCTGCTTTGTTTACAGTTTGAATTGTGCAGCACTAGTTCAGGTTTGTCTTTTGTGGAATGACAAAGACTACTGCCACCTGTGGGTACAGAAAGATGTTTGTATGGCTTTTTGGTCGAGAAGCAGCCAATGTGAGAATTTATATTCATTCAAATATACAAAAACACTAAAACGGTGTTATGTGTTTTGCTGATTTATGTACATGCGCTATCCCAAATTTTCAAATCCAGACAATTAAGCATTTTTAACTAGTCTAACTATAGTCTGTTTCTACTGAGTGGTACAGTACGGTACGAATCGGTACGGGTCACCTTTATCAGGCTTGTGTTTCCACTGCTGAAAGGGTATCAGTGGTACTCTTTTGGTGGGTGTGGTTTACGACAAAGTTTTAGAAGACGTCATTTTCGCTCAAGGAAATGTCTACAGTAAAGCTGTACAGGTCATTCACATCATATGAGAAGCACTTCTCACAAAACAGATGCTTTATACACATAAATACTGTATAAATGTTTATTACTAACTTTTCTATGAACACGATTTGATTATAACTTCAGGTCAATGACAGTGCAAAATAACCTACTGTAACATCTGCAATTATATAAAACAAATAAATAAATGCAACAAATATGAACACATACAACCTAGAGCTGCATGATTCTGGCTAAAATGAGAATCGTGATTTTTTTTATTTTATTTTTTGCTTAAAATAAAGATCACGATTTTCTCACGATTCTTATTTAAAATAAAGCTTAATATGACTCTGCAATTATTATTGTTTTTTATTCTCAAACATATGGTAAAAGAACTATTATTATGTGTAGGTCTACTGGTTTCTATAAATAATTATATTCTACTTATAATTATTCTGATGTTGAATTATGTTTGAGATATTGGCGTATTCTTACAATCTATCATTGACAACATTATTAGACCATATAATTTACTGGTAAAATCAACATATAGGCTAGAGTAGTTATACTGACACTGTAAGGATTTATTTTCATGCACAACTGTGTGTTCGCTATGAAAGAAAAAACATATCAAATGCTTGTCACAATCATAACTACAATGCGATATAATTATTTAAATGATGTGCACGCTTTCGGTTTCATTTTCTGTTCATACTTCAAGCACGGCTCTCAAACGATCACTTTGTGCCACAAACTGAATATTATTTACAACTTTATTACCTGTTACTTACAGTGTATGCAGGTTCTGTTCACTAAAGTAGACGCGCATGCGTCTGTCATAAAGTAGGACGCGCACCTGCCCTCTCTTGATAACAGCTCACAGTCAGCAGCTCTCGTCGTGTGTGATTTCCAGACCGCGAGAATACAGCATTACATGAAGACAAAAATGACATTTTTATGTGAATTATACCTTATAAATACAGTGTGTGACTCTTTCAATATCATTTGGAGGTGAACATGACGCTAAGCAATGTATGGGAAACAATAAAAAGACTTGTGCAGCCGCCTTTGCTTCTCTCCTGAACTAGAAAATATTATTGGCAGAATCGTAGAAATGCTGGATTAAGATCGTCTAGGGCAGGGATGTTAAACTCAATTCCTGGAGGGCCGAAGCCCTGCACAGTTTAGTTCCAACCCTGCTTCAACACACTTAGCTGTAGGTTTCAAACAAGACTGAAGGTCTCAATTAGTTTGATCAGGTGTGTTTAATTAGGGTTGGAACTAAACTGTGCAGAGCTGCGGCCCTTTTGGAACTGAGTTTGACACCTGTGGTCTATAGGGGGTTGAATTTAGATCCTGATCTTTTTTTGATTAATTGTGCAGCTCTAATACAGCCCGTTATAGTCTCTGATATGTTATACCACTAACAGAAAATTTACACAAAGCATACATTTAGTTCTTATTTAGGTTCAAAAACAACACGCAGCATAGCCCAGAGTCAGTGCTAACCGCTCATCTGTGTCTGTAATCTTCAGCAGCACATGTAACCTCTTGTTAGAAAGTAATTTTATCATTCTGAGTTTATAATAGTCCAAAATGTGATGATAATAGTTAAACATGGCAGTTTGTTCATGTTTTAGGTTGCGGACGCATCATTTACTGCAGTTTTTTTCCAGCTTCTCCTTTGTTTTGTAGGGCTTCTTGGGTAATAAAGTTGGTTGGGCGCCAGGGGTTGAAAAAAAACCCACTACAGTTTCTATAATAATTTAATTAAATGAAAAAATTAAGCTTCAACAGATGCATGGTTTAATCAGGTAAACCCAATCAAATATTCAAATCAACAACCAGATCAATATATTAATAAAGAAGAAAACAAAAGGAATAAGCTTTTAACTTCAACACATTTTTCATGTTTCATTCTCGCGTTTGTTCCTTTCTGACAGGATTGGATATCAAAGCGCTTCAATAATCACAAGTACGTAATTAATATAAGTTCAAAAAGTTAATTATTTTAAATATAGACTCGATCGCGTGCTCTCTGGACAAAGTGAAACCCCTAATAGCCGCAGACCTGTGTCTTTATTTTTGTCCATCCCTAATTGTCATAAATTACCAAAAGCTAGTTATTGCAATGGTTTGTTTTTACTGTAAGTGGTGACACATTGACCATTCCCAAAATAAACACACATTAATTGTAGCACCTTAAGCATATTGATGTAACCTGTTTCTGAATATGCTAAGCTAACAGGCTAAAGATATGTTTTTATGTTTACTAGGTAAATCTGTTTTGGTATGATGAGTTTGCAACTTTGCAAAATAAATGGTGAGTGGTATTTAATGCAAATTAATAGTAATAAAAAGATATCTCAATAGAAATGTTTGTACTTCATATATGCAAGTTAAGCTGATAAGCATTGTGAAATGATTTTAGTATATATTTAAGTTTTTTTGCTGCCAGTGAAATTACTTGTTTAAGGGGTTTATTTCAAATGCATGACACCAACCAAACATAATGAAAGTCATTGGTCTGGCATATTTTTGTACTGTGTTCAACCTGCCCATCAAAGTGCCTGATTGAAGAATGTGGCTGCTCTTTAGACCCACTTTAGTGTTTAGTAGTCTTGATTTTTTTTTTATTTTTTTAAACCAAATGCCCCTATGGTTTTATAGAACAAATCTCATTAACATCCTCCTTTAGTTTTATGTCTTCAGTCAGGCACATTTGAATACCATTAGTTTATGCTTTCCATCAGCAGCTCATAGCTCTGCATCATAAGCCAGCATTTGACATATTGATATCTTAAAAGGCTCCTTTTTGTGGCCTTATAATGCATCAAACATTCCAACAAGTTTTTGCTTTACACGGTTATCTATAATGCAAGAACTCCAAACAAAGGAGAATCAAGCTTATTGCAGGCACACACCCTGGGCTCGAGCCCCTAGCTTGAGGGCACTTCCTCAAAGCCTCAGAGTAGTGAATAAGATGCCTCAGCTCTACACCCACCCCCCAGTCCAGTTCATCCCACACCTCTATTGTAGTCGTATTATCCGTTCTGTGCTTTTGGGTCTTGAGTCGCTTCCCATCCTCTCTCAGGAAGCCACTGTGATTGATTGCTTGGCTTGACCATATAAGGTTACAGTTGCTAAGTAACCTGTTGGACCTAGTCTCAGCATTTGGCAGTATTTGATATAGGCAGAGGGGCTCACCTGTCATTCAAAGGGCCTGCTGTCTTTTGACTAAGTTTGTGCATCTTTCTGTAGTTATATCTGAACACCATTATTGCATGAAATGAGTGTGTTCCAACAAGAATATGCCCTGCAATATATTGACGTATAACAATGCTTTGTTTATGGTAGTACTTTCATCATTTAAAATTTTGGACAACTGCAATCTTACACAATTAAAACTACAAGGTTTACGGTATTTGCTTTTTATAATGGGCCAGTAATCATCAGATTTTAAAGTGTTTTGTATTTTATTAACATTTATTTTATATTTGTACATTCCTTAAACGTGTGTCTGGAAGATCTAAATAAACTGAGAAAAATAATCATCTGAGTATGCTTAACGTAAAAAGAAAGTGTTCCTTAATTAGGTCGCTGCTGCATTTCAATACTGGTCATGGGGGTACAGAGACATATTTTTTTCTAAGGTGGTACTTGGTGAAAAAAGTTGAGAACCACTGAACTAAGCAATTTGAAATAACATATTTTTCACCCACATCATACATTTCTTGTCCATACAAGTTTGGAATAACATTGGGATGACTAAATGTCAAAATATCTTATTTTTTGGTTATCCTTTTGACAAAAAAAGCACATTTGTCTTTGCCATAATTTTTATACAGCAAATGTTTAAGCCCCCACGACATCTTTTTATAGACCCCACAAAGCCTTCAAAATAAATAAGCCAACAAATAATACCCAATCAGATGAGAGCTGCACTGTACACACAGGAAGTGTCTTCTGCTGCGAGGTCCTGTGCAATAGGTTGTGCCTGCTTTACTAGAATATATTTCAATAGCAGACATCCCTTGAATTTTAAAAATAATTGTATTTATTCTTTTGTCCATTTCAAGGCTTATTCAAAAAAAAAAAAAAAAGAAAAAAAAAGGAAACTCTGAGCACCCACCCAAGATAAGTGATGTAGGAGCCCTCTGATGTCTGTCCACCCTTGAAGCTTTACATGACCTACATTCCGGAAGTTGAGACATTCTCTCTTTTGTGATAATTTATGACTATATACCATTTTTTTATACTTAATGTGTTGATTTGAATAGAGGATCCAGCTTAGCCCAGACTCTAAGAAAATTACCAGAAATTTAAGCGGGGCCTTGTTCACTGGGTGACCAGATGACCCACCACAATACCAAACGAAAATGAAGTTGTTCATGTACTATTGTGGCTTATTGTAAAACTGAAGTGAAACTTGCTTCACTCTATTCGTAATAAGGCCAAAACTGAAAGCAGGATATCCTCCCTATGCTGTATGGGCTTGAAATAATGCCACTGATTACTGTTGCTTTTCCTTTCATCGTTAATTAAGGTGATTAGACATGGAGTTTATTCCTGGAAAAGATGGTATCCCAAAAAAACACTTCGGGGAAATCACTTTTGATGTGCTATTTGTTTATTTTCGAATTACTTTTCATTTTGCCAAAGATTTAGCTATTCTTGCTGATGTAGTGTTAAATCATAAATGAAACATATATATATCATATAAATCATATGTAGATTCTATAACTTGAATGCCAAAAATGAGAAGATTCTGCATAAATTAAACACTTAGTGTTTCCTCTAGGATTTGTTTTTCAGCTGTGACAGCAGACTCTGTTGGCCATTTTACACAGATCTACCACTACACTATCACTACATTTCATTGACTCATGTCATGGGCGCAGTATTAAGTCGAGATCGCATTCAAGTAATAGCCTATGAGCACGTCAATCTCTGCTCGAGATTTCCTCTGTTCGTGCACAAAACATTTTGCACGCCTTCAAATATTCGCTGCTCAAGTGCAGATTTTCTTGCGCACCCTCAAATAAACGCGGCTGAAGTGTGATTTAGTGTGTTTTTGTACCAAGTATGTCTCCAACATTTTATTATATTTACTAGGAATATCTCTGAATGTCTCCTATAGACCTGCGGAGCGGACGCGGCATTAATGCGTCCTGAAGTAAAGTGAAACGACTATAAACTCCAGCAAGATAAAGTCATTATATGCAGAGCCACAGACCTTTATCTATAAATAAAGTATAATTATGGAAACTGTGTTCATCATAACTGAAAGCTACGCTGTGTTTGCTGGTCTCACGCATCACACACCTGTCAGTCATTCAGCACGTATCCTTAAAGGGTTAAACATGAAGCACACCAGTACTAAGGTCACAGAAAAGTTTGCGCTGTTATTATTCACTTACCTTTTCATACGTTTTCGGTGCGATAATGTAGTCGTGGCAAGATGCATTTTGGTGTGGTGCCCCGCCACGGAAGAATGAATGTAGCGGAAACCATGAACACTTATTTAAACTTGCACTGTAATACTGTATATGCAGGGTTCTACACAATTCCTTCATGTTGTCCCAACGCAAATCAATTAAGTTAACAAATTTAAGTGCATTAAACATAACATATAAAACACTTCCCCTCCAACAAAAAAAACACACAAAAAAGAACAAATGTGTTTAGTGCTTTGGGTCTTGGAAAAGTGCATTATAAATAAAATTTATTATTATTATTATTATTATTATTGAGCTCAATTTAAATAATTAGTTAAGCTGCCATTTAATCAGATGAGGAAGATAAAATATGTCATATTGATCAACAATAATCATCCAAGAAATATCTAGTCATTAAATCATAAATGGCTCTGAAACTTTTAAGACATTCTGTAAGTCTTGTAGAAGGTGTAACAATGCCATGTTTTGATTTTTGCCATGTTTTATACAGTTGAATGGAATTACTTTTCCCTAAATCTCGATTTGTCTTTCTTTGACCTCACAGAGCAGATCTTCCAGAACATTCGTCAGGAGTACAGTCGCTATCAGAGGCGACGACAGTTGGAAGGGGCCTTTAACCAGACCGAGCCCTGCAGCTCCACCGATATCCAGAGCTCCAGTCCCGCCCTTACCTCCCCCAGTTCTCCCACAGGTCAGTCTACTCCAGCCTTTCAAAAAAACGCCTCTGCTGGCTAAATATGACAACATTTAAATCCCAGTAACCAAAAATTAAGAGCACAAACAGAAAATGTGGGGGTGTTCCCCAGTAATTTAATGTAAATTGTCCAAATTAAAATGACTTGCAGTTTCTGTAAATTTAAATTAACATTGGTATTTTCAGGGCTTCAGATTAGCATTTTTGAGGGCAATGTCACCAGGTTCTATTGAAAGTGGTGGCAGCACCTTATTTGGCAGCAATGCACCTGGTCTCTTGAAACTGCACATTTGACAGTAGCTTGAGTTGAGATGTAGATGTATATTAGGTTTTCATCTACAAAAACTCAAAAAAGGTAACCGTCTCATCTTTTAGTTGCTCTTTAGTGGATTGGCCATCATCAGTGACATTTGGATTACAATGACCAGAACTAATCAATGCTAGAACTACATCAGCGTTCTGCACCACTCTCCTGCCTGCATGAATTGCTGGAATGCTCCATTGTTTAAAGTATTATGGCTTTTACACTTTTCTTAATTTATTTTGAACTGCTTTGACACAAACTACATTGTAAGAAGCACTATAGAAATAAAGATGAATCTTTTATACATCAGTTAATTGTGATAGCCACAGATACAGCACCTCATAACTAGTGGTGTAAACAATCACAAATCTCACAGTTTGGATTACGTAATGGGTTTTTTTAGTCACAGATTGGACCATTTGTTGAATCAGCCAAAAAGGAGAGGAGACAAACGTAATTTGCTTTCCATTTATTACAAAACCAGTACTGCAAGACACATTTAGTTTTAACAAACAGAACTAAGAAGCTGCCATTTTATTACAAAAAAAATTAACAAATAATCAGCAGAATAAAAATAAAATGTAAAATATTCAGTACTGTGAAAAAAATGCACTGTTACCACTACTGTTGCTAATAATGCTAAATGTATAAATCTAACATTATTATTTGTATAACCCATTTTTTTTTGTCTCATTTTGAATAAGTGATTCAGTTATTCACTCATAAAACTTCACGTTTCAATGCAGATGTGTCATTTTTGAAGAATTATTCAGTGGCATGTTTTTGAAGGGTGAGGGTCATTTTTGCACCCTATTGGTTAAATAGAGTTGCTGCCTACAATTGTCATTTTTGAGCGTTGTTAAAGGCGTATGATGGTGATTTTAGTCTTTATCATAAACATCAGTGGTTTTATCTAAACTATAAACTGTTATCCCAGTACTTCTGTGTTATATGACCGTTTGTAACTTCAAGACTAACTTGAAAGACTAAAGACTGGATCTCTTACTAGATTTTTGCATTTTTAAAATTGAATGCAGAGATTTGAAGGATTAATAAACCTCTGCAAATCACCATCATTTAAAATTTGTTGCATGGTTGTTGGCCCAATTCATTTATTTATTTATTTTTTAATTAAAAAAAAATGTATTTTAAATGTTTTATCATGCAGCTTACCTTAAATGCATTGATGCAGGCTAAACAAGTAGTGACAGAATACACCTTTAATGAAGCCCACCACATCCCGAATAACCTACCACAACTTTTTCTGTCATTATATTTTACAGGAAAGCCTTAATGCTTTCATGCATGTGATTTGAATGCTGTGAGAGGCGATTTCTTTCTGTGATCGATACAAATTTTGAATTAATCTACCAGCAAAAAATAAATAAAATTAATCCGCTGGACACGTGTGTTACAAACTGTGGACTGTGATTCGTACTAATCACAGATCAACCGTGATCTTTTACAACCCTACTCAGAACCATGATAAAATATGGTATAACAATAATGTTGTTGTTATTGATATTATTATTATTATTATTTGGTGTCTACACTATCTTTGGCATCTTTGACTGAAAACAGAGTATTTTGAAAATGGTGAAAACCCAAAGTTTGGAAAAGAGGTACTATGAAGTACTATGGCTAGTACTATTCCCTAAATCATTGTACTGAAACCGTAAAAAAAACGCCAGTGAACGAAAAGTATAGTAAAAATTCATACTTGGAAGTCTGTATGTTTTTGTGAGTTTGTTTCATTGCCTGTCAGGGGAGCAAGGAAATTAGTCTGCTGTAAGCTTTTAGACACAGCCCTAGAGTTTTCTGCACAGATCAGTTTCAACCTTCGCTAACACATTAGAATAGTTTAGACCCATTGTAATTATTTGTTGTTCCTGAATGTCTTAGTTAGCTGGTAGAGGTCTGTTTCATTTGGCTTGGAGCCGCATTTTGCACAAAAGTACATTTGAATCAAATTATACACTTCCGCTTCAACTTCAAACTCTGATGCAAAATTGTACCAAGTTGAGTACTGTTCATCTGGCATGTTCCTTGAAGGGATAGTTCACCTAAAGTGAAAATTCTGTCATTTACTCATTCTCCACTAGTTCAAAATATTTGTTTGTGTAATACAACGGAAGATAAACAGAAGAATGCTGGAAAAGCAGATACTAACTTGCATAGTATGTTTTGTTTTTGCTATGGGTGTCAGCTGCTTTTCACACATTCTTCAGAATGTGCTGTTTTGTGTTCAACAGAAGTTCACGAGTTTATAACGGAGTGTGTGAGTAAATGGTAGGGGAAATTTGCTTTTTGCTTCAACTGGTCCTTTAAACCAGCAAAGTTTATTATTGTAGATTTATTATACAATAAAGCACAAATCGACAGTATGCCCACTGTTTTGCTTTTTAAAAGGTGGTCTCACAGCAGCATGATATTTGTAAGAAATGAAAATATTTAAAAGCATCGAGGGGAATATGCTGTTTAGTACTTATTTGAACTGTACACACTTGAAAATCTAGCCCTATTCTTCAAGTTAATTAATTTTGTACTGTTGATTTTTATTCAAATGGTGTAAATACGTCAAATAAAATTGTAAATGCACATGATGTTGATAGAAAGCCTATCGAGCATTTTCTTATCAATTAATTTGGGTCAGGAAAAATGTAAGAAATGAAAACTTCTATTCAGTAATGAGATTTTCATTGACCGAATTTGATCACAGACATTTATAATGTGACAATTTTCAAAAGTGACAAATGAATTCTATTTTAAACTTTCTATTCATCCAATATTCTTGTCATGTTGGCACAAATATAAAGCACCTCAACATTTATAGTAACAAGAAATGTTTCATAAGCAGCAGATCAGCATAAAAAATAGGTTGTAATCATAACTTCAGCATAACAGACCAAGCGAAGTGGTTTGTGAAACTAATGTGTCAGACTTTCAGTCCAATTCTCTTCCAGTGATTTCTAGCTGTACAAAACCACTTGTTTCATTGATTTATTACAAACTGGTGAACTCGCTTGATGATATATTCAGGAAAGGGTCACCAGGAAAAGTTTTATCATGCATTAACATTAAAAAATCTTATCTAATTTATGTATTCAATTGTTTGTTGTTTTTAGTTTTATATTTATTAATGAAACCTTTTTGCCATAAAAAATAGCCTTTGTTACAGACATGACATTAAATAAAAATACATCATCATCATTACAAACTGGCTTTTTTTACCACAATATTTCATTGTATCAGCTGTAAACTATATATATATATATATATATATATATATATATATATATATATATATATATATATATATATATATATATATATATATATATATATATATATATATATATATATATATATATATATATATATATATATATATATATATATATATATATATGAACAATTGCAGCTTTATGGATGCAACATTTGCAGTAAAAACTCAAAACATAAATTCACAGAAAAGTCTATGTTAATAATATATTGAAACTTCTGTTTATATTTTCCAGAACAACTAACCACAGAGTTATAGGACCAGAAAAATAAAAATCTGTAATTATATTTTGTACTTTAAATGAGGAAAATAAATAAACATGCGATATGGATGTGACAAAGACTTTGAGTTTGCAGTATACAACATAGTTTGCAGAAATTCTGTGAAATAATAATAATAATAATCAAAAGGATAAGAGTTGGCTGTCTATAGAACAAAAATGATTGATTTTATTTTATTTAATATTTTTGTATTTATGAGGAAAAAGTGTTGTTATGGATGTGAACGGTGTGAAATTGCCACTTGTGTGACTTTGGTTAATCAAATGTAATAGTTTGAAAACACTGACAGAGACATTTTTGAGTATTTCTAAAACACTGTAAAATACTTGCTTACACACAACTTAGAAACAGTTTCCATATTTTGGTGAAAACGTAATTATTTTCATGGCCAGGTTGACTCGTATATAAACAGTTTTAGTTTCATTACCAGTTGATAATGAATAAAAAAACCCCACTTATTTCTGTATTTTGTGTGTTTTATATTTCATAGCTGTTTATATAGATATAAAGCAGATATTTTGAAAGAGTTGGTGTATAAACTTAATATCCATTCAACTGTTACCTTTATATTCAGATTATTTTTATTTTTATTATTATTTTTTTAGGTGCCTCATCATTGAAGAAGGATCAGCCACTGTTCACACTGAGGCAGGTTGGCTATTTGTGTGAGCGCCTTATCAAAGATCACGAGGAGAAGATGCGTGAAGAGTACGAACAAATACTGAACACAAAGCTTGCAGGTAAAACATGTTGCAGATCCCAAACTGTTATTTAATGGGTTAGCTCACCCACAAATGACATTTCTATTATTAATTGCTTGCCCTTATGCCAATACAATAACCTGAGATATTAGTTTGTCTTCAGAACACAAGTTAAGATATTTTAGATGAAGGATCCTTCTTAGATAGCTAAGATGCAAGATATTCAAAGTCAATATGATCTTAGTGGTTCATATGAAGCTCCAAAAACACTTTTGTGCACTGAAAAAAAACAATGTAAAACCTTCTGTTTGCCTAGGTCTTCTGTTCCATGTTAGGTTTAGGTGCGTGTTTACTGTGGGAAATAGGATGTTTAATAAATGCACACACTGACCTGACGTGAAAGGCATGAATGAACAAAGTTGTTTTTACAGTTTATTATGATTACAGTAGTCCTGTGTTAATCGCGGAAGTTACATTCTAAAAATATCCCACAATAGGCGAAATCTACGAAGTTGTTGGCTTTTTTTTACAATTATTATAAATGTTTTAAGGCTGTAAAACCCCTCATTACACACTTTATACCCTTTTCTCAGACAGGCATTTACATTTTCAGACATTTTTCTCTTGTTTAAAGTTTCAATGAAAAATTTGTCCAGTATTAGGCTATAGAATGAAACCAAAGATCACAACTCGTCAAGCACAAACATTCATCGCTGTCAGCAAAGGTTCATGAAGCTTTATAGCTTTTGTGTGGATAATGTCGGCATACAATGTATTGTGCTTTTTTCCTGCAGTCGTTGATCCACAAAGCTAAAGTAGACTTCATACTTCAGGGGGTCGCACACTGAACGTGCCGCGCTCACGACATTTGGTAATAACACACACCGGACGTGCACATTCGCATGCTTTTTTTAAAATTAAATTGTTCAGATGGTGCTCAGTGACATGACAGAAATATGAACCGTGTCCTGAATCGTAGCTAGTATGCAAACCCTGATATAAAACTATGTATAGCCTACAACCTACAATTGTAAAATGCGTGGCGCATCAGGTATGCGATTCCCTTTTACGGTGGTCTTGCTGCTGACAGTTGCAACTCTTTTTGCATTCTTGTTGAAACACACACTGCTAGTGATCTAATATTTGTGTTAATTTGGCAAGCTGAATGCATTCTGTACTGTACGGGAGACTCTGAGTAGATCAACTGACAATGTTCTACAGCCAATCAGGACGCTAAACACAATGCGCTGTAAAAAAAAAAAAAAGTAAAATTGCACAAAGTCTGCGAGGCTACGAAAGGTGAACCACGTTATAGCGAGGGATATTTTAGTTATTTCCTAGAGCTTTGTGCGATTACAGTTGAACCGCTGAAGCCACATGGAATGTTTTCGGTTCCTTGAGAGTTGCTGTCTATGCAGGCTCCGAGAGCTCTCGGATTTAAACAAAAACATCTTCATTTGTGTTCTGAAGGCCTCGGGGGATTGTAACAATCTAAGGGAGAGTTATTGATAACGGTATTCAATTTTTTTTTGCTGTACATTTATTCTTGATGCTATGTTTCTAGTTTACCCAACAAAATCTCACAGCAATTCTTAACTTTTTGTTTAGTGGCTAATTCATATGAAGTCATACGTTCTAATTCGTACAATTTAGTAAGATTTGCTCATCGATTAATGACAGTTGGGTTTAGGAGTGAGGTTAGGTGCAATACCACCTTTTTAAAATTGTACAATTTCCTATGACTGAACTTGAATTACTAAACTGACAAACGTAAAATATCAGGTGTCAACACCGTCTTATGCCACATGACTCTCTCTAATGGCTATTTGTTTTTCTCTTTCTCTCTTAAGAACAATACGAGTCCTTCGTGAAATTCACACAGGATCAGATTATGCGAAGATATGGTGCCAGGCCTGCAAGCTGTAAGTGTATTTATTTCCTCATCAAACATTGTGAAATTTTATTTACGTTATTCGATTGCTTTGAGTATAAAGTTTTTTTTTCCCCTCCACTTTGTGTCATCTGTCTAAATGCTGATTGTGGTCTGTTTATTTTCAGATGTGTCTTGAAGAACATTATAGATGGTACTTGCCATCCCTCAGCAGCTGGTTGCTACAGTACCAGCTTCCTTTGTTTCACTTGAAATTTCCTCCATTCTTTTGATTCTATTTTTTTCTCCTTTAAAATGCTTGGGTGCCATGTTCTATCCACATTTAACTCATTTTTATTGCTGAACTGTTACTGATGGCCCAACACCAAACATGCATATCTAGATGCATTCTAAGAAGGTTTAATCTCTTTAAGAATTTCTGAGAAAAGATGTCAACTATCGCTGTAAAAAGCTTGACTGATGCGATCATCTCTGTATAATGTAACGTGACTGATCTGCAGCAGATTTACCTGACTCTCCCTCTATCCTTCGGTCTGTTTTTTAACTCTTCACCTCCTTTTTTTTCTTTTTTTGACAAATAAAATATCTGTGATAAGTCAGCAATTGTAGTGATTGTTCTTTTATGTGTGAACTTATGAATGCACTAAGGGAAATTATGAAGGGAGTGTTTGGTCTTTTTTAATGATTTAATGATGCTGCACTAAAGTAGTCACCCCATGCTCATTCTGATTATGTACCCCTATAAACATTTCTGGAGAGTTCCAAATATGTCCCAGGAGCTACGTTTGCATTTTTTGGTTTCGAGAATCCACCAGAGGCCACTGTCTACACTTTGAGATCTTAAATTTCTTTTGCGAGTGCCATCTGTGCCTGTTCTTCTCACGTAAATCCACCTGAGGCCGCTGTCGACTGACTTACTGACCGAACTATTTCTCCCCACCCTAATCCCAACTGACAGTGCTTTCAAAAGCAATTCAGAAAAGAACAACCCTGATTCTTACCACGTTCAGATTTTATCACATTTTCACTCTGATATTACTTATTGGCTTTTGTTTTTGTCCAATTTCTGTTACATTCTGTAACCGTTCTTCTTCGGATTCAAACTCTGTGGTTTCAGTCACCTCCTCTCTGCATCTCAAATCCTCCAAACGTACACAGCTACCCACTGGAGAAACTGGTAACAGCAGGAAAGCCGTCCATACAGAGGTAGGCAGTCAGCTGGTAAGCACAAAAAGGAACTGCATCATACCACCCCATAGCGTTCATGTTGAAGACAAAATGCAGCCATACATACTTTAGGCTACATAATTCATGATCTCCAGAAATGCATATAGGGCTACGTTTTCAGAATGAACCTATACTGAAAGATGTTAAACCTTACAGAATCCAGGAGCTCCAATAAAATGTTTGATTTGATGTCTGTTAACTTATAAATGTTGTAGCGTGGCGTCATATAATTCAACTTCAGGATTATTTTCTTTTCAAAGTAATTCATAACTTAAAGGTGGTTAAAATACACATGAAATCAAAACTAACTGTATAGATTTTTCTTTAGCTCACATTGCTAGACTACTAAAGAAACTGATAAAGCAGCTGCAACAACAAGAGTTTTTCAAGTTATACATGTGGGAATTGCTGAAGAGCAAAGGCTGGAAGTACTGACAAGAGAGCAGTGGAGACAGCTCTGCGTCCTCTTTAGTAGCCATAAAAAAACAGCTTTAATAATGTGGAGATGGCAATAACTCCAGGGTGAGGAAAATAATAATTTTAATAATGTGGTCATTTAATTTATCATATACTTTTGCCTGCCCACATGTTCCTCCCTGTGTCTCTCAATCTCTGTTGTCAGGAGGTGTTCTCTGCATAACTGTCGGTTTAACCCTAAACAAATTATTTTTGGATATTTTATTAAAGAATCCTAAAAATGGATCATGCTTTTCCCAAAAACCATTAAGCAGCTCAACAGTTTTAAACGCTTATAATATGAAATCGCCATTAAGGTATTTTGTGACACTGGAGCAGCCTAATGTTCTTTTAAAGAGATTATTTGCAATAATAATAAAATAAAATTCATAATCCACTCAAAGTTTTGAACTGCATCAGGTTGAGTAAATTATGGAAGCCCGTTCCCGCCACTGAATAATAAAACAAGTCATTGTGACTATTAAAGTCAGAATTCTGATAAAAACAGTCGCAATTGCAAGTTATATAGGAGTTTCCTGTTATGGTGACTGATTAAAATACTCCTAACCCTAGCCCTCACAGTGACGTCACTACCTCCATTGAGTGCATTTTGTCTGACATTGCATCTCTGAGTGGTGCAATCTCAGCTTGCATCGTAAAGGCTGAGGCGTGAGTGTCTTAATCAAGTAGAAACGAGTCCAAGGCATGTGAAAGCTTTTAGGCATTTCTGTTCCTGATGAAATGAAAAGACTTTATGAACATCTGCAGATCATCCCTCCATCCATTAAAGCGGGTTTCACCTTTACAAATTGCTTCTATGATTGAAGTGCTTAAATAATTAGCTTATATACCAAAAAGTCAGGGGCTGCGTCCGAAACCGCATACTTCCATACTATATAGTATGCTAAAATCAGTATGCGAGACGAGTAGTATGTCTGAATTCATAGAATTCGAAAATCAGTGTGCAAGAAGTGCCCAGATGACTTACTACTTCCGGCGAGATTCTGAAGTGCGCATCCCATGCATGCTGCGCTATCCCATGATGCCCCGCTAACAAATTCATAAATGGGAGTGAAGCAACGCTACTGACGCAGGTAGGTCACATGACCATGACAAAATGGAGGATGTAGTATGTCCGAATTCCATTCATACTGCTCACATTTATACTGTATAGAACATACTTTTCTAACGGCTGAGTAGTGTGATCAAATTCAAAATGCAGTACCTACTGTGTAGTAGGTGGTTTCGGACGCAGCCTAGGTCTTTGTTCTTCAACAATATACCAACTTTGAGACCACAGTAGTGTACATTTGTATCTATTTGGAATGCAGCCAGTTCTGAAGTTACTTCCAAAAATCTTTTATAACTTCACAGTGAGAAAAAAAAAGTTCTACGGTTTCAATATCTCTCACAAAAGCCGCATGAATTGTTTCCCCAGTAAAATGTTTCATGTAACAATTATTACATGGGCAAATGTCATTTTCAATTTGAAATGCTACTTTTTTTTTTAGCCTTGGGAAGTTACATTGTAAATAGTGAGGGCTTTTTTTTTATTTTTGAGTGAACTATCCCTTAACACAAATGTTAACGGCAATGGCGGCCTCTCGTGGTCGTACAGAATATTATACATGTGTCATACTCATTGAATGAATTAAGTTACCCGTTTATGTGTTTTCATATAATGTAATTTGTACAGCAGGTTATCTGTCAATTGATAGACGTGATTGAAACATTTTATTGGCGTGAAATGTGATATTTCAATTGAAACGACACAATCTTTAATTACATCACGTGACTTCAGGTGTGTCGGTTTGAGGAAGCGCAGGTAGAGAGTCTGCAAAACTTTGGCGGTTCCGACCGAGCCTTTTATTGTTCCAGAAAAGTAAACAATAAACTGATCCTGCAGACCCTTCAGTTTGAAGCTTGAGGAAGGAAGACTGAAACCGGAAAAGCTGGATCAAGCCTGTAATTATCGTCCAGGGAGAGCGTATTTCAGTCCGTGGTGGTCGCACGAGTGCCTTATTTTGTTACTTTGTTCATATTTGTTCAAAACTGACTTTATTTCGTCATTATTTACTCAAATAACCAAATATAATAATAAGCCCCGTTTGGCGCGCGCTTTCTGAGAAAACTCCTGTAGTCGCGTGAGGTGGTGGATCCATACTCGGTAAGTACTGGCATATTACTAAGTTACACATAGCCTACTGTAGTTTCGGTAATAAGTCGTTCTTTTTATCACTACATTTAACTTTTCAAGTATTTACAAAAAAACATCGAATATATTCAACACATATTAAAATTCATATAAACCGTGTTATAAACTTTACACTTAGTTCAGAAATGACGTAATAAATAATAAAGTAGTTTCTAGCATGAAAAGCAACACAGCCCTTTAGTAACCTCGTAAATTATTGCATGCAGGATGGATTTGTTTGTGCAGGAAGAGCCAACAACACCGGAAGAGTTGAAATGCACACAGTAGGCTAATTAGTTTTCTTTAGGTTAGTTTTTGTTTTGCGTCAGTTGCACAGAATATTAATAACGTTTTTACAAAAAAAAGCCATGTAGTTTCTAGTTTTGTCAACTCATTCAGACCGACCGTTTGTATTTGCATTTTTAAGATAGAGAAATGGGCGATAATGACACCGAAGAGCAAGACTCTTTGCAGAAGGACGAAGAAGCTGGTAACCGAGACAATCCGGTCAGAAGAGTTCGGAGGGTCGAGAAGTTTCATAAGAATGTTTCTAAATGGATGCTTCCCGAGGAGTTACATGAGACTTATCTGGAGCGGGCGAACTGCTGTCCGCCACCGATCTTCATCATCCTCATCAGTTTAGCAGAGGTAAAGACAGCTGTCAAAACAGCTGCTGTTTCTTCAAGTCTGAAGCTGGTTAAAGATGATTAACCTGATCTCTCTGAAGTACAATTTGTGTTTACATTGCTTTTACACACAAATATTCTGTCTGTATGTACAATGCTCAGTAGATAGAAGTACACCCCTCACAAATCTCTTTTAAAATTAATATTTTCAATAAGAAGCTGTACAATATTATAATTGTGCATATACATTAGATTAGTAGTAAAGGAAAATCTGGAGCTTATTTAACAAAATCACTTACGATAATGGTCCAAAAACTCATACACCCAAATTTATGTTATAAAATACAGGAAAAATCAAGAGAAGCACAAAAATTTAGTTAATATTTTGTAGGTTGTATAAGTGAAATAAAATAAGTGATGTTCCTTAAATCATATGCTTTGTTGAATATTTATCTAAAAAGTTTTTTTTGAATGTACAGGAATGGAAAACTAATGATGTCCATAGATATAGTCTATAGTATAATATATTACTATAAATGTTTATTCATTTGAAAATATTTACAGCAACCAGTACATTTCCATTCATTTGCTTTGGGTGTCTTGCTGTGAAAGAACTGAGTTTCTTTTCAGCTTTCTTTCCAGCCTTCCACTTTTCCATTCCTGAATGGCAAATCTTAACCACAGTGTTTGAAAAGCCAGATTCATCCATGTTTCCAGACACATTTTTCAAAATAGACCTCTCTAGACACTGACAAAACAGTATTTAATAAATTCATGTTTTTTAAGTGCATACAAGTTTGCTGACACTTCTTAGTAATCTGTTATACTGTTAAGCCAAAATGGTTGTCTATGACATTCCTACTAATAACCCTTTGTGCAGTTTTATTTTAACAAAACGAAGTTGATAAGTGGAAAATCCACAGTCCTCCACCAGGATCATTTTGATTTGTATGTGTTGAGGAAGAGTTTATTGTCATCTGTTAGCTTTCAGTCTCAGTAGACCTGTGTTACCCAGGCCTCTTTATAGCCTCTCCAGTGGCCATTCACCTACTTTTCTTATTCAGTGTCTCACTCTCTTTTTGAATTTTGACAGCTG